TCGAAGCGAGCCTTACCCAAACCAATCTCGGCGTACTTATTTTCCTACTGTCTTGAAGGTTGTACGTGAGATTAGAGGCTGTTCACGCAGATGTGAGCACACATCAGCACGTAAAAAAATTGAACCCTACAAAGTTCTGAAGTAATGTGTGGTGGAAGTCTCTCCTTTGGACCGTGTTAGGTAACGGTTATGTTCAACGAAGGACCGACAACCCCACATTTATCAAAGTCAAGAGTGACACAGACCACAAGCTGTGTTCAGTTGAACCGTCGCTTGCAACCGTACGAGATAAAACGCCTCGCTATGCGTCACTTTGCTTTGCTTAAACAGAACTTAAAGATTCACAGGGTCACGTAATTCGGCATGTGGGTGTGATGTGGGAAAGTGTAAATTCACTCGGCGCGAGAACGTGAAACTCTAGACACAGGCTTGTGAAAAATCTGATAATTTTATACATGGTGCCGGTCTGGTGAAGCCATGGATTCATGCACACCGAAATGACTGACCTCCGGTTTCAGAACAGTTGATTCATACATATGTGAATTGGAAAACTGTTCAATGATCATGTCTGACTGGTTATCTTCACGCTGCTGCCCCAGAACGACCGACGATTTGTTATGATATTTCACCAAGAGAACTGATTTAGTATCCCAGAGCACACCATTCTCTGCCCATTTCGAAAACCTCAAACTGCCCTTAAATCACGCTGCAATCACAAGTCATTCAAAACCTAGCTCCGACGGCTTTTAATCCCAGGACGTGTGAACAAGGTCTCACCCTTTACAATAAATCGAGAGACTGTCATAATTGAATTCAGCCCCTCGTACCAATTTGCATTACAGGCCGACGTCCCTGCTAAGCAGTAACAAACTCATTACGGAGTAGTACCCCATTTAGGTGAATAAACGGCCACTGAAGGTCAGCAGGAACAGATTCTATTAACTTAGACTAGTTCGTTGTTTCGTAGAATACGGCACACAAGTTTTGCACAGCTCGTTATGAGCACAGGCTTCAGCGCCGGCGCACAAATCAGCATTGGCCATGGAAACCACGAGCTCTCTGCTCCTTGTCCGCTTGAAGACACAATCAGACAGTAGATTCTTCCTTCTCTTCAACCTCTAAAAAACCTAGTAAGTTGGATTTTGCAATCTATAAATTGTTCTTACATGTTTAGAAAGGATGAAGACGACCAGATGATTTATATATAATTGACCAAATATGGAAAAAAATGGGAAATTGAAATACAATAGTTGGCGCTTTTACGGAATGATAAATTTACTGCAAGCACAAATTTATCACGTGACTACAGAGCAAGCACTAAAAACAATTTAACAATTTCAAAACCAAAAATTTAAAACCAAGTGTAGATAACTGTTATCTAGTATGCCCTGATTCTGATCCAATAACGTAAAACTTAATTTAGAAATAATATTTTTGAAGAAATTTAGGCTTTAGAAATATATTTGGTCCAAGAATATATATATATATATATATATATATATATATACTCATTTTTAAAATTATTCTTTAGTGGAGTAAAAGCAATGAAATCGAAATGGGTATTTAGTTAGTTTTGGGTGGATTTTTGAATTCTTTTGGCCTCCAAGAAGGCTGATTCCACATTCCAATCTCACAGATAATTACCTAAAAACCCCTGCAACATCTTATTATAAAATATGTTGTTTGATATTGAAAATAACTTTAGTCCAATTTTTGACTCAGCAGTTGACAGTACTGTCTGCATCTAATGAATAATGTATGAATATTCAAATATTCGTACATTTTATTCTTATCATTCGCCATATTGTGGAGTATTAATCAAAGTATGAATATTACAATATTTTCCCAATTCCATGGCCGCCGTTGTTGTTGACACCTGACTTAGTTGGGCCGGATTAAATTCTCTAGTTTCCATCATATATGACATGTCCCACGTTCCCTTTTCAATGAGACAACGATATTTTGCAATATTATGAATGCCATGAAAAGCCACACAGTTCACGGTCTGGATATAATGACCCATTTGAATTTCCTTGATATTTGTACATTCCAAGCCTCCCATCACGGGTGAAATGTTTTCACAACAGCTACCTCTCCATTTCAATCACTATTTCCTTCTCGTGCTCCCCACAAAACCAGCTTCATGACTGAAACATTAATCACGTTTTTCTACTATTTACCATGAATAAAACTAGAAACTCTTAATCTGATTAACGACAGGGAGGGTAAGTTCACACAACAGCAAGATTGGAAAAACACACAGCCAATATTTCCTAGACAACTCTTGTCCTTGTTCGGAAGGCTCGTGCGGAAGTTTGGATGCGTCCCCGGGTGGAAAAGCCCATTCCGAGCGGATTGGCATCTATCTAGAGCCATGACGAAATCTCCAACTCTGGACGACAGCGGTCGTCGAGGCGCCGTCGATCACATGATCACACGGCCCAAGTCTCTCGAACAGACCGAAACAAGAACCTGCCAGCTCTCGATCTCGCATGACGTGAAGCTCGCGATCCACAGGCTGATCAGTGGAAAAAAAAAGAAAAAAAAAGGAAGCACCAAACCTCGATCACGCAGCAGCAGCAGTAGCAGTCAGAGAGACATGTGCACAAGCAACCAGGGCGACTGACCTAGCAATCTTCGAGAAACCGCAAGGAGGGATCCAACCATTCGCCACACAACCCGAAAGAGACATGCAGGTCGGTGGCTTCCCGCGTGCGAGCCGATCGACGAGCTCGCAGTCCCAGCGCCTCTTCGCCGCTGTCAGCGCCCGTAGGTCGGATCGAGGCCCCTCTCCAGTCACGAAACCCTTAAGCTCAGTAATAGAAAAAATAAACAACAACAACAACAACACTGCAACCTGGGTGCGGCGAACCCAGCTCCACTCACCTGCTTCACCAGTATTTTAATCAGCATCCGCATCTAATTCAGATCTTGGCTCCGATTAGCAATCTTCCTAGTATCAGAGAATCCTGTTATCTGAACCTTCACATTGCACTGCATTGACACCGGCGACGGTGGACTCCGGCTGCGATGTCTAGATTCCGCCATGAAGCAGTCAAGGCTCGAAGGCTGTGAGCTGTGGAATCTGGATCCATTCACTACTGCCACAGTCTCCGGTGTGAAGCATTTCTCGGTGCTCGTTGCTGTAGACACACTTTGTTTAACCTTTATTTTGTTTTGTAGTTAAGCTTTTAATGAGCATCTTGAAAGTGGTCTTATAGCCAGATCCCAGTCAAACCTTCATTCAAGTTTCTGTCTTCTTTTTTTAACCTCCTCCTTTTTCTGTGTATTTTAAATCAAGTTGTGGAGGAATATTGATAAATACTGGGAATGTAGACCACCGTTATGAATGAATAATATGTGGCTGTTGAGTAGCTGTGGCGAATAAGTATGTGTTATTTTCCAATTGTCTCAGTTATTGTGCATGGGTTGTTGGGTCTGGTGGTAGTGTTCAATACAGCAAATACAAGCATGCTAGTAATTTTTTTGTACTACAGTATTTGTGTTATTTGAGTGAATGTCAGCTAACATAAGTTTTTAATTTTCAGACTTTATCGAATGGAAGTTTGAGGCGGAAATACATTTGTATTATTTATTCTTCAACATCTTGTATAGAAATTCAATTACGTAATACATATCACTAATCATATTCGTATGTATATATATATATATATATATATATATATATTATGCTCTTCTGAATTGTTTTGAATTTTTAGATCAAAAAATTTTTAGATAAAAAAGTATATCTTAGAAATCCTTCTTACAATCCTTATTTAATTTGTAAAATTAAACTTGTCCAACAATGGTTTTTATTACTTTTAACTACCAAAAGAAAAAGATGTCATAGTATGGAATGTTTGAGGTTGATTCTTTTAGAAATATCAACGTTATTTTTGAAAAAAACTTGTAAGGATACAAAAGTACTTAATTACTTAAGAATACAATAATTTGCACATATAAAACTAAATTGTTGAACCAACTGCCTTCAAAGCTTCAAAACAATAGTTTCTTCTTTAGTTCTTCAAATTAATTAAGTGAATTTTGTAATATTAGGTAAAAGTATCATTAGATTATTTCGGTATAATAAATAAATTAAATTTCATATATTTAAAAAATATATGTCAAGGCTTGTATAATTTAGTATCAATTTTAGGCTTCTGATTTATATACTTCAAAATAATGATGCAAATTACACATCATTAATAATCAAATAACCAAAAAAATTAGGTGGTCTTTTATAGTGGACATTTTTTTAGTTGGAAAATATAGTACATATTAAGTATCTTTATTTGCAAACATAAAAAAATATTCATATTCATTAATATAAATAATGTTTATGGTTTTAAAAAAACACATAAATGAAAGATACAATAGAATTATGCTTTCTCTGAAAAAACAAAAAAACGTGTCTATGAAGAAATGATATTTAAATACTTCAAACTAGTTGCTTAACTTCTGTAAAAATTGTCACTAGAAATTGATTCTAAGACCAAACCTGCATAATAACATGTACACATGCACATAAGTTTAGTCTGATATGTATGCATGTGTTTAAATAAATAAATGAATGTGTGTATATATATATATATATATATATATAACTCTCTCTTGATATGCAGTAGAGGTACCACTGCTTATTTTTATTTCTTGTCTGTGTACATTTACATATACATATATATATATATATGAACTCACGTACTCTAGAGCGTGTCTCACTCCAACAAGAAAAGCAGAAAGAGAATTGGATGGGAAAGAAAAGACAGCAGCAGAGGGACCGCGCTTCACAAACCCTTGACCTGATCAGAACCAACAGCAACGCATGATCGGCATGGTGTCAGAAGCATCCCACAATAACTCAAGCATTCTTGCATATTTATATTCCCATCCCTATTAAAATAACCCTTCATTTCATCAATAATAAAAACACATTGAATAATAATATACTGGACTTCACCGTTTCCTTCTCCTACCCACACCGGCGTCCGCGGCCCTGAAACTGGTGGCAAACCTGCAGGTCCAAGCGGCACCAAAGCTCTCGCAGAGTCCAAGCTCCCACGCCTCCTCAGCCGCGCTTCATTCTTCCTCCAACTCCAACTCCATGGATCCAGTCCCATCTCACTGCGGTACCGGCGTCGGCATTATTATTAACTTACCCACTCTCCTCCGGCAAACTGCAGCACCGTAGCTTTTTGAAACCGAGAGGGCGGAACAACCTGGGTGGCACAAGCCCGTGACGATCAATGCACTATAGATAGCAATCCCCGCTGGGCGGTTTTTGAGATATCATCGCAGCGTTGATTGTATCACGTTCCTGTGAGATAGTCCCTTCGAGGATCCTTCCCATCTCCACGCGTCGGATTTCTGGTTTCCTGCCCCGCCAACTTTTCTCAACTTGCTTTAGGATCCGTGGCAGCCAATTCACATAACCTGGCTAGACTCGTAGGCCCTGTGTAGATCTGGTCAGACATCGAGCTTTGGTTTTGGTTGCCACCAGTCCCGTCTTTTTTCCCCATATATTGCACAGCTTCGGTTGGGTGTTTTGAAGCCAGTGACTCGGAAGAGCCGGTCTCTGAGGGTTGTTGCAGTGAGAAGCGAATCGCATTGGTTCCACATTTCGAGTAGTGTCGTCTGTTGTTGTAGTTCTTGCTTCTTGTTTTTGTTGAGGCGGAATTTATCGGTGGCTTGAGAGTTTTGAGGTGGTGTGGTTTGTCGGCGTTGGACTGAAGGAGGCTCTGAAGATGGGAAGCCGGATGAGAGAGGTGCGGTTCCGCTTCGTGACTCGTCTTCGCTCCGGTTGAGATTTGTCGTGTATCATCTTGAATTGATAGCATGTAATTAGTTTCCAATTGTGTCCTTTCGTTCATAGCTTTTACTATCATCGATTGCGAATACACCTTGCGACAACAGCATTGTCGAAATTCTTTACGGGAGAACACGTAACTTGGATATTCCGATCATGTCTAAGCTTCTTCTCGATTAATTTGACGATGTGGGAATCTTCAAGCAGTAGCGAAGCGTAGATGGAAATTCTTTTCCTTTGTAGATGCAGTTGCAATTCTGCATCAAAGTTGGTTCAGATTGGATAATCTCGTTACGTTGATGCACCGATTATTCCTTGCTTCAAGAACTCTTCTCCTCTAGTGCTCATAGACCCGAGACGTCATCGACACCTTCCGGGCCACATGTATATCGATTGCTTAGAGCTTGTGTCTCTTAAAAGGGTACTGCTCTTCGGTGGTTCTTAAACACATGTCGGTGACGTCGACAACCTCAGGCCACTGACCTGATTTTGTGTTGCTCGCATAAATTATTTTGGTGCAGTTTTTACTCCGTCCTACTAACGTTTAAGCACCACACAACCATGCTCAGGTGTTTTATGGCGAACCTACTTATCACACGAGCTACCACCAGCATAGTATGCCCAATCGGGGTTACTCTCGGAGCCACTCAGTATATCCCGATCGATCCCGCGGCCATGAGGTACCCGTGCTCGAGCTCAGAGTTCCCATGTGCTGCGAGAAGTGCAAGGAGAAGGTGAAGGAAGCTCTGGAGGAGCTAGACGGCGTGGAGGACGTCGTTTGCGATCAATACAACCAATTGGTGACCATTACTGGGTATGTTGATGACATCCGGGCGCTCAGGAAGGTGAAGAAGGTGAAAAAGAAGTCTGAGTTTTTTAAGAGAGGAAGCTATATCGAGAGTTCGGGCTACTCGGGCGATCGCTCAGGTCACCACTACATTGAAAGCGACACCAATTACATCAATAGCCGCATGGTACACAACCATTCCTACGGAAGCGGCTTAACTCGGTCAAACTCCTTTGGCAGAGGATTGGGAAGATTGCCTTCATTTGGCAGATTGTCGCCTTACGTCGATCACAACGATCGATACAACGACTTCGAGTCAAGGTATTCGCAGAGGGAATCGCAGGGCTTCCGCCGCATGCCTTCCTTCAACCGCCACCGTCACCATGACGCCGAGTACATCTCCATGGACAACCAGTACACACCGTATTACGGAGAGCCCCAGTACGTTAGCAACCATATGGAGCGGCCGGTGTACCGCTCACAGCGATCTTTTTCCCAAGTTCCGGTCACCAATCCCTACTACATCCAGCAAATTGAATCGGAATATTACTGAGGAGATTATGTTCATTGTAGGCATGCGAGAAGAGCTCGTTTAGATGTTAACGGTTAAAAATATAGTGAAGAAGATGTTGTGGACAAACCTAACAGTGCAGCTCATGCAGCATTGAGCGGAAAATTTTGGCGTTTGGTTTAGTCATAATGCGAAGCTGAAAAGAAATGGGGGCTTGCAATTGTTTATAGGTTCGGCATATTCTTATGATTAATAATATTAGATTAGTACATACTCACATTGCAATGCTAGTCTGGAATTCATTCTCGGAGGTTGTGGTTACAGTGACAAGTTGGGTGGCAGACAGAATTGTTGAAAAGCCAAGTGTGTTGGAGTTAGTGGTGTCTGTGTTTCTCTTTGGAGAGGTTTGTGACACCCGCTGTCAAATAAGTTGTATAGTAGCAGGGAATTACATGGTAAATTGTCACAGGTTTGATATATGTCTTTGTCGATGAAGCTTTTCAGTAGTATGGTTGATTGACATTTCTTTATCTCCTATGTGCTTTGTCAATTTTCAAGTACTCCGTTACAGAAAGCATAATTTGGACTGAGTTTCTTCCTTAAATTTCCGTTCAAAATTCTTACAGTTTTTTGCAGACGTTCAGCTTATTCTATGGCAGTAGCAAAAGAACTTTTAAAAAAACGGGCGCTACCTTAATTAGGTCATGCTCCGATATTTGTAAACTCATCCGGATTATACTAGAACATATGCCACTCGTCCGTAAAATATAAACGTCTGTTAGACATTGTAGAAGAGCAGTTGCCAGTTAGCGGTTGATAATCCAACAAGATAGATTCCATATGTACATAATAAATTTCCTTACAGCTCATTGAACAAACCCAGCACACAGTAGTCACAAAAATTCTAGACAAAATCCTCATGAAGTAGTGTCCATATCGAGGTGTCCACATTGCATCACTTTTGGACGCCCATGCGTACTTGGTCAATTTCCTAGGTTTCATGCTCCCAATTCATTCCAGACACAAATAAAATAGTAACCAGTCTAACGTGGCAATCAGCATTACTGCTGCAACCTTTTCTACAACTTCAATGATGCAAATTGAATACTTAGATTCTGTTCTCCCTGTGTGCACCTTGACACGAAAAGTTGCAGTTGAGCGTATAGCTGGGATTAGTTCGATCGACAGTGAGTCCCTGACACGGAATTCTCTTCTAGTAAACTTCATCGTGTGATAAAACAATCTAAGAAGTAAAGCTCAGACTCGGCTGCTAGGTGCCCAATTAGCAATCAAGGCGCGAAAGGTGGTGCGAGGGAGTCGCCTACATATTTACTACATACAATCTACGACATAGATAACTTCTGTCCCCACACATCTGCATGGAACCAATGTGGACTCTTGGCGTTCTTCCTCGTATAGCTTTTGGAACTCCACATTAACCGCGTCCTAATTTGGCAACTTGTTTCAATACATCGGGGCCGAAGATATTTCCGATTTGGTTGCCAAGTGTGAATGCTGTCTCATGGAAGAAGGATTCATCACATTGGAGCGCCTAATGTGCTAATTATGTGCGTTACCATACTTTATGGGTAACTTTCGAAAGCGTGTGAGTGAGTCATGGTAGAGCGCCAGGCGTCGGTCAGATGCCACGATGGATGGGTGCTGCTTTGTTGTTAAATGCAAGGGAATTCTTAAGATGACGAGGAAAAGACAACGTGCTTGGACATGCAAGAACTGGAACACTCCGTCATTCATTCACATGTTGAATAAGGGGAAATTTTCGGAGACACGAGGTGGGTCGGATGTGCGTTCTTAGGTTCTTAGCCATCTACTAGAGTACACCAAGAAGGCACCACCTGGTCACACAAAATCCAGCATGAATGGTGCTGCACATTTTATATGAGCAGTATCTGCCACTACGTAGTGTGTTGTACTGCTATGAATCACCCAGTTCATCCTTGTCAGATGTCCTCTCATTTTGAAATGGCCTGAGCAATATTTTTGTGAAAGAAATGCAAATAGTCATTAGATTTGTCTACCATGCAACAATAAGGCCGCGGATTACGGCCACTCAATTCCAATGACCTTAGTGACTGTGCAACAGACTTCCGAGAAGAAATATTTAATATAATATTGCATGGGTTCGCTATGTGGTCCTCGTCAGGCGAGTGAGAGCCAAATGGCCATGTCTTTACATTGGTTCACGAGAAATGAACACTTTGGGAACGCACAACACATCATTTGAAATGACTCTTGCTTGCTTAATGGCTAATTCCTATGAAAATAAATGGTAAAATGAGGTGCCAGATCTATGTGGCATTATAGAATTTACTTGATGTATTACAAAGATGTATTTCTAGGGTTTGTCGGAAATCTCAGCTGGGGTTTTGGTGACGAGGGAAAGAGCGTGCAGACCATTCTGAAGCTCCTCCTGCAGTAGTCCATAGATAAGACGATGTCGCTTCACGAGGCTCAATCCTTGGAACTCTTCCGAAACAACCTTCACGTTGAAATGAGTCTCGGAAGAGCCTCTTGATGCGCCAGCATGGCCCGCGTGTTGATGAGATACATCCTCCACCTCTATTAGCACGGGGTTCAACCTTTCCGAAAGCTTCCTCTCGATACTATCCCTCACCGTCATCACCTTCTCTTCCCTTGGTTTTGAGTCATTCCCGGGAAGTAAAGCATCTGGTTGATTAGGCTCAGGATCCGTTGCAGTAGATGACGCAGCGCTGTCAGATTTCGGAACAGAAGATTCCACGTATGACTGCATCGTCTTCTTCTGCATAAGTTTCAGCATGTTGAGAAAGCCATTGCTTCGCGACGGGGTGAGGCTCTGTTGCAACCCTAGCTTCTGAACAAAATCTGGGGAAACCTTTAAAACCTCCGCAGGGGTCGCACCAGAAAGTCCATTGACTAGAAGGGCTGCCAGGCCCTTTGTGAGAGCAGAATCCGACTCAGCCTCGAAGTAAACACGCCCGTCCTCGCCAAGCTTACACACCACCCACACTTGCGACACGCAGCCATCCACTTTGTTCTCCGGTATGCAGAACTCCTTCGCAAGAGGCTTCAGTTTCTGACCATAATAGAGCAGCTGTTGATACCGCGCGCGCTGTTCTCCTACCGCCTGAAACAATCGCACGATCTCGCGCAGCTCGGCCGGAAGATCTTCCTCGACAGTTTGAGTCTCCTGCTGTTGTGCCGCCGACGAAAAGCTCCAGTCTCTCCTCGAGCTCAAAGCTTGAATTCCCAAAGAAATTCTTCTCCGCAAATTAGAGCTCTTGTTGAGCTCAACACACGAAATTCGGCAGATGGGTGTCCCCCGCAAAAGAGGCTTGGGAAAAGTAAGACACGGCTGGAGATGGATCCCTGTCGCCACAAAGGCAGAGCCTGAGTGGCGAGAAAGAGACGCAGGTGCAGAAGAGCAAGACACCATGGTCATGGCCATAGCCGACATTTACGATGCTCTCATCTGCCAGCACCAATCTACTCAACACAGAAAACTCCAAAATGTAGATAAAACCTGGAAAATATTTACAGATCCACACGTCTGAGACCGATTACACAAATTCCCACCAATTCCCCAAGCGGCCACCTCGGGATAACTCAACACACAATGCAACCCGCTCAAAATTCCTATAGCATTACAAATACGGTAACCCAAACCAAGAAAACGAATCGAAACACGAAAGAATCACTCTAAATTCCCACGAAGCGCTTAATTTCGCGAGGAACATTTCACAAAGAGGCAAGACCTAGCGGCTGCGGAACGGTCCAGCAGCGATTGACAAAAATCTGACGATGTGCCTACACCACAAACACAAGGTGGCGTCCCACGATGATGTGAACTGACGGAGTGATTTGGAATTTCTTCATGTTTCGGACCCTCAATCGGCGGATTCGACGACCCTTCCGGTCGCGTCACCGACTTTCAATGCTGATGGCTCTCGGTGAGTCCACGCTGCACAATACGTATTCTATATCGTATACATACGTATCCCAGGTAATCTTGAATTATTTACGTAATCCCAGAAAATCTTATACCTTATATTTTCTATAAAAATTCTCATATTAGGTCAAGATTTTAAAATGTCATTTTGAAGTAGGGATTGCAAAATACAACAGTAGATTTGGATCTATGTTGTCACTATGTCATTTTTTGTAAATCTTCTTTACTGACATTAGGGTCATTTGCTTTGCTTTGGGGAGTAATATTTGAAAGTAACAAGGCTAGATTCAAATTCTAGTTTCTATATAAAATAATCAAATAATTATGTATTTTTTCAAATTAAAATCATATATATTTAAATATATTTCATAAAAATTATATCTTATTTATAAAAATAAATTATAAAATATAATATACTATTTTAGTAGCATGCAAATTTGATGTCATGACTTTGAAGAACAAAATTAAGAGCGCCAAGCAAAATTTGATGTTAATCTTTAAGAATGTGATGTGCTATTAAGTCAAGCTTTCAATAAGTTAAGGCTCACTAAAAGAAGATCAATAACAAAGTTTTTGTAGGTGTTTAAGTAGAAGGGGATTATCTACCTTGATTGTTGCCTTTACAATTCTAATAGCCTACTTTTGGAAGAATATTCCTCATTATTCACAATTTGAATTATCTCAAGACTTGTTTTTATAATATTATATTGACATATGGTATCATATGATTTTAATTTGAAAAAATACATAATTATTTGATTATATTGACCTTTTGGTAGTGTATCAATAGTCATCATCTAATCCAAGCTCAGTTATTATGGTCTCATAGAGTACTATGTTGAAGCTACCACGAGCTACTCTTAAAAATCAATCGGAAGGTGAAAAGGTATTATAATAATATAGTCTACCTAAGAAATTACAGTATAAAAGATATGGTGGAGCAATCTCAAATGGAGGCTTAAATACAATACTTCTAAGGCTAGATAGCTACTTTGCAAAGACAAATAAAAGCCTTGAGGACAAGAGAGTCGACATCTGTTAGGTTAAAATTGAGTAAGTCTAATACATACTCTAAGACTTCAAGACAAGAAGATGTATGTCAATGGTTCTTCAACATGCAACAATACATTTAACTATTTAGAGCAAATACCATTGAAGGAATTATATATGTAGCTAGCTATTTGAGAGATATGATAGCCATTTGGTGACAAGATCAAGTTCAAATCTATAGAGCTCAAGGTAGATTTTGTGACTGGGAGGAGTTTGAGACCGAATTTAGGAATCAATTTCGGCCTATCAATGCAGAGAAGATAATATTTGATTAGTGAGAAAAGCTTACACAAGCTAGGTTGGTGCAAGATTACATTAGGGACCTTATATAAGACAAGGATTCAAGACTAAGAAATAGAGTTAACTTGATATTAGAACAATAATTAGATACAAGGCAAGAAGGTCCTAACTAGACCATGAAAAATAAATTGTCAAGATTGAGGATCCCCTCAGCCTTGACTCCTATATATACTAGGTCCTAAGAAGCTTCTTGAAAAATTTCCATGAGGCTTGGAAACAAATCAAGCCTAAGATCCTTCTTTGACAACTTCTTAAATCATCTATAGCCTCCTAGAACCTCTTAGGATTTCCTATGATCTTCTAAAACTTTCTTAGAATCTATTGGAACCTTTTAGAACCTTCTTAAAAACTATTGGAACCTTTTGGAACCTTGTAGGATCTACAAGAACCTTCTTAGAACCTTGTTACGGCCATAATCATGTAAGCTAATAATTACATATAGAAATAGGTAGAAGTAAGTAAAAATAGATAAAAGTAAGTAAATTCTATAATATTTAATATAGAAGCTTCTTAGAAACTTCCTAGACGCTGCTTTGACTTCATAGGTGTCTTTAATTGACTTTTTGGATTAGAAACGTGGTCAACAAGTTGGCCATGTACCACACATGTTGTTAGCTTGAAGATCAAGCTAACTATGTGGCCCACACGTAGAAAAACTTGCCTTGTAAGTCAAGGCATGTGTCCTACAAAGTCAACACATATTGGAGGTCCTATAGAACGTCGCCACGTAGCCCCTAGTTAGATAGTATATATAGAGACAAGAGTGAAGGCTTCTTCACTCTTGTCAACTCCTTTCTTGCTTCTAGTCTAGTTTCAAGGGTCTTTAGTTTTCTTGTCTTTTGGCAATAGCCATTCCAGTTTCTCTTTCAATATATATACTTGTTTATGTATATTTTGTTACCTCTCTTTGAGTGAAGGCTCACTTGTCTAAATTGTTTTTTCATCGAGTTCTTGTCCTTGACAGATTGACAAGAGTACACTTACAATATTAGAGCTTTGTTTTTCTTGAGTAAGAGTGGATTATTCCTTTCTCTTGACAAGACATAAGCGTATTAGAAGTTTGCGGATTACCCACTTCTAAACTGATATTGTTCTTAGTATCTTCTTTGTTATCAAGTCTTTCTTTTCTTTTGTCTTGAGCAGTAATAAACAAATTTTTCTTCTTATTGTCATTATGGCAAAGCTTATTGAAATGAAGAGTGCAATGGCACAAATACAAGAGCAAATGAGGGAGTTAATGCTTGCCATGCATCAACTCAATTCACCAACACAGGAAAGAACAAGAATAGCAGAAAGTAGGGATATAGAGATGATCGGAGCTGCTTCAACATCTACAACAAATCACGTTCCTTCTTCAATTGTACAACACCCTGTAAGCACTAGAGAACCAAGAATTGCCTTATCCGAGAAATTTGATGGTACGAGATCAAAGTTTTGAAGATTCATCAATCAAGTACAATTGGCAATTGAACTTCAACCGCAAAGCTATCCAACTCCAGGATCACAAGTCAGGTTTATTGGCACTCTACTTTCTGGTTCTGCACTATCGTGGTTTTCGTCTTTTTTTGAAAAACGAAATCCAATATTGGATAATTTGGAAGCTTTTTTGGCGGAGTTTCGATCTATGTATGGTGAACACGATGCAACTCGTGTTGCAACAAATAAGATCCAAAATTTGCGACAAAGAAATCACTCTGTAACAATGTATGCTTCACAATTTCGACAACTTGCAATTGACATCAAGTGGGATGATGCTGCACTCATCAATCAATTTCTTTATGGATTGCAATACGAAGTAAAGAAATTGATGCTCAACTTACCTGATCCTCAAACTTAGAGTCAAGCAATCAATTTTGTGGTAAAATGTGATAATCGACTTTTCGAATTTCGATCCGAAAATCATTCACGAGAACCTCAACATTATTACTCAATGGCAACATCAACATCTTTGCCAAACGTACATTCGGAAGTAGAAGACATACAAATTGACGCAGTACGTTTTAAACCCCTAACTGAGCAAGAAAAGATTCGTCGTCGTCAAGAAAGATTATGTTTATATTGCGGAGAACCTAAGCACACTGCTCAACATTGTCCAAAGAAACGACGCAACTATAAAATGAGGGGTACGACGGTCAAAGAAGACAACATGTCGGGAAACGGATTTGTCCAGCTACAATAGGGACCATGCAGCTGGAACCTTGTACAATTCCTAATGAAGGTCCTATCCTCTCCTCAGAACCCTCTCCTTGTTTTATAATAGACTTATATTTAGGACCTAAGAATTACAAAGCCTCTGCTTTATTAGATTCGGGAGCCTCAGCATGTTTTTTAGATGAACAATTTGTTAAAAGTCGTAAAATACCCTTTGTACAAAAACCTAAACCAGTACATGTAGAAGTCATAGATGGTCGTCCCTTGTCTTCTGGAGATGTCACTCATGAAACTCATCCTATAAAAGTAACAATAGACGGTCATGATAGCTACATAGCTTTTAACATAATTAAATCCCCATCCAATCCAGTTATTTTAGGTTTATCCTGGCTAGAAAAATATAACCCTCGAATAGATTGGAATTTGCGTAAATTTGACTTTTTCCAGAGCGTTATTAATAGTTCTACCAACCAAGTAAAAAATTATAAGTCTAGTATAGTAAAATCCGTACTGATAGGTACAAAAGTATTTATATACGTAGCAAAAGAAGGATCAACTTTTGCTATTTATGCTGCACCTATTTTTGAAAACGTAAAGACTTCAAGTCGCATTCCAAGTCAATATCAGGAGTATCAAGAAGTTTTTTAGAAAAAGAATGTAAATATTCTTCCTGAGCATCGTCCATATGATTGTTCAATCGACCTCAAGGAAGGAACTCAGCCACCATTTGGATCAATTTATACGTTATCGCAAGATGAGTTGGCTGAACTCAAGACATATATTGACGAGAATTTAGCGAAGAATTTGATACGCCATTCAAAATCTCCAGCAGGAGCTCCAATTCTATTCGTAAAGAAAAAAGATGGATCTTTACGAATGTGTGTTGATTATCGAGGACTCAACAAGATCACAATCAAGAACATGTATCCATTACCTTTAATATCAGGACTCCTTGACCAGTTGAATCAAGCTAAGATCTATACAAAAATAGATCTAAGAGGAGCATATAATCTAGTACAAATCAAGGAAGGAGATGAATGGAAGACTGCGTTTCGGAGTAGGTACGGACATTTCGAATATAATGTCATGCCTTTTGGACTCACGAATGCACCAGCTACTTTTCAACATCTCATGAATGATGTATTTTGTGAATTCTTAGACAATTTTGTCATCTGCTATCTAGACGATATCTTGATCTATTCTAACAACGTCGAAGAGCATGAAATACATGTTCGTCAAGTATTACAAAAATTTAGAGATGCAGGATTGTACGCCAAGATGGAAAAGTGTGTATTTCATACTACTCAAGTTGACTTTTTAGGATACATCATTTCAAATGATGGTCTCATGATGGATTCTAAGAAAGTCCAGACAATCATGAATTGAAAGATTCCAAGGACAGTAAGAGATGTCT